TAAAATTAAAAAAGTGAAAGAGCATAATAGGACCCCTTTAAGCCCCTATATTGTTCAGTCCCAGAGATATGGGGAGCCCAATGTGACTCAGTGTCCAATTTGTTGAAACCTACCCATTTTCAGTAGTTGAAAAACAAATGTTGGTCACTTTACACACAGCTGATACTATTTGTATTTAAAGAACAATGTCTGAAGAACAAATAATATTGAAATTAGAAGTGTATCTTGTTTGCCTCTATCAAGAAAATTGCATAGAACATATTTGTCAAAGTGCCAAGAAAATGTGCTTTCCCCCCCAAAAGTCTGGATGCCTGTAACTCTAGAAGTATTAAAGATTGTAATATGATTTTACATTCTGGTTCCTACAAAATATTTCTTTTGAAATAATTTTTTTAAGCCCTGTATGGTTCAGTCCCAGAGATATGGGGATCCCAATATGACTCAAAGTCCAAATTGTTGAATCCTACCCATTTTTAGTGGATTAAAACCTATTGTGAATTTGTGTTTATCTAGTCATGAATGTTGACATTGCAACACTGAAAAAAATGTTTCATTCATCCAATTAAAAAAAATTAGGGTAATGATTCACATCTATATTTTTTAACTTGAGCCCATGAAAAATAAATAACTTGCTCTTAGGGCCTACATTTTTTATTGGATGAATGAAAAAAAAAATTTTCAGTGAAGTATGCAAATAATTACAGTAACCTAGGGTTTAGGAATGTACAACCCCAATTCCAGAAAACTTGGGACGTTTTGTAAAATGCAATAAAATCAAGAATCTGTGATTTAATTGACAAAAGTACAAAGAAAAGATTTCCAAAGTTTTCACTGACCAACTTAAATGTATTTTGTAATGAAACAGTGGCTGAAACACACTCCAAAAAAGTTAGGACAGAGTCAAAAAAAAAAGTGAAAAGGTTATATAATATCCAAATTAAACTCTTTTGAAACAGTTCACAGTAAGCAGGTGAATTGGTAATAGGTGAGAGTATCATGTTTGGGTATAAAAGGAGCATCTCAGATTTTTGCAAGCAAAGCTGGATCACGGCTCATCACTTTGTGCCAAATTCATGAGAAAAGTGTCAAACAAATCAAAAATCCAATTTCTCAATGCAGAATCATAAAGAATTTAGGTCTTTCACCAACTACCATATATAATATTGTTAAAAGATTCAGAGAATCCAGAGAAATCTCAGTCTGTGTAGGGCAAAGCAGGAAACCTCAGTTGAATGTGCATGACATTTGAGCCCTCAGATGGCATTGCATAAGAAACCATCATGCTGCAGTGTTAAATATAGCCACAGGGGCTCAGGAGTACTTTGGAAAACCGCTGTCACCTAACACAGTCTGCCGCTGCATCAATAAATGCAACTTGAATCTCTTTTACTCTAGGAAAAGCTAAACATCAGTTCTATGCAGTGATGCCGCAGGGTTGTCTGGGCCAGAGCTCACCTCAGATAGTCAAAAACACTAAAGTGGAAATGTGTGCTGTGGTCAGATGAGTCCACCTTTCAACTTGTTTTGGGAAAAATGGGTGTTGAGTTCTCAATCCCAAAGACCAAAGGGATCATCCAGACTTTTATCAGTGACAGATGCAAAAGCACACGTCTGTCATGGTATGGGGGTGCCGCAGAGCAAATGGCATGGGTGACTGTCATATGTGCGAAGGTGCCATTGACATGGAGGCATATATTGGAATTGTACAGAGACACATACTGCCATCAAGATGACATCTTTCATGGGAATTCCATGGTTGTTAGATCAAGACAATGCCAGGTCTCATTCTGCATGTGCTACAATAGTGTGGTTTTGTAGACACAAAGTGAATGTGAGAGACCTTAAATGAGTCAAAGTTTGACTTACTATCTGTGATTCTGCCAAATATGCCGCTTAGCAGTGGATACTACTTGGTCTATGACTATGCTTCACATGTTGCATACTTATTCCAGGTGTGGCAAATCTTGGTTTATTGAAAACAATGGGAATGGGAATAGCAACCACACTTCCCTATAAGGCAAGGGAGTTGTTTCAAACATAGTTACAATACTGCATGTTTGAACTCTTTGTAGATTCAGAAGCTTTTAAAAGTAACAAAATCCCTTCTTACAAATATACCTGAAACTGATTCAAATGTAGAATCTTATGAATAGACTACTTTGAGCAAGTTAATGTGCCTCAACTTGACAATTTCAGTGCATTTTTAGCACTCAGACGTGTGTTCTGTGTAACTGTTTTGATAGAGGGAAACAAGATACAATTCTAGTTTCAACATTATTTATTCTTCAGACATTCCCCTTTAAATACAATAAGTATCAGCTGTATACAAAGTGACTGACATTTGGTTTTCAACTTGGACATTACAAATTGGACATTGAGTCACATTGGGATCCCCATATCTGTGGGAATTAACTATATATGGCTTAAAAATTAATATTACAAAATAATTGTTTATTAAGATTTTTAATCAGAATCAAGAAAGAGCTTTATTGCCAAGTATGTTTGCACATACAAGGAAATTGTTATAGTGACACAAGCTTCCAGTACATGGAGACAACAACAACACACAGATAATAAAAATGAGATGTGAATAAAATACACATGCATAAATATAAACCACAAAAAAAAGAATAAATTGTATGTACAGGTGTGGTATGAGCTCCAGTGATCTGTTGAAGATCTGTGAGAAGATGGGGGCCAGTTGGTCAGCGCAGGTTTTCAGACAGGCTGGTGTCACACCGTCTGGGCCTGGTGCTTTTCTTCTCTTGTTCTTTCTGTAGACCTGGCGCACATCATCCTCACTGATCTGAAACGTAGAAGTGGGGGAGAGGAGGGTTGCAGGAGGTGTTGATGGTTGTGTGGAGAGATGTTCAGAGCGGGTGTGGGGTGTTAGACTGGGAGTTTCAAATCTACAGTAAAACTCATTCAGGTCTTCAGCAAGTTGTTGATTGGCCTCAGTGCTGGGGGATGGTGTCTTGTAGTTGGTGATGTCCTTCAGGCCTTTCCACACTGATGCAGGCTCATTCGCAGAAAACTGGTGTTCTAGTTTTTTAGCGTAGTTCCTCTTGGCCACTCTAATCTCCTTATTCAGTGTGTTTCTGGCCTGATTGTACAAGACTCTGTCCCCCCTTTTGTAGGCGTCCTCTTTGGCCTGACGAAGATGACGAAGTTTTGCTGTAAACCATGGCTTATCATTGTTGAATGTTAAATGAGTCCTGGTAGGGATGCACATGTCATCACAGAAACTGATATATGATGTTACAGATTCCGTGAGCTCGTCCAGATCGTTGGTGGCTGCTTCAAAAACACTCCAATCAGTGCAGTCGAAACAGGCTTGCAATGCCTGCTCTGTTTCGTTGGTCCACCTCTTTACAGACTTTACTACAGGTTTAGCAGATTTAAGTTTATGCCTGTAGGTCGGTATAAGATGAACCAGGCAGTGGTCAGAGAGTCCTACAGCTGCTCTGGGGACCGAGCGATATGCATCCTTTATTGTGGAGTAACAATGGTCCAGTATACTACTGTCTCTGGTGGGACATGTAATATGCTGTCTGTATTTTGGCAGTTCACGGGAAAGATTTGCTTTATTAAAGTCCCCGAGAATGATTAAAACAGAGTCCGGGTGTTGTTGTTCTGTCTCTGTGATCAGATCAGCGAGTTTCTGTAAAGCTGAGCTCATGTGTGCTTGCGGAGGAATGTAAATACTCACGAGAATGAACGAGTGAAACTCCCGCGGTGAATAGAACGGCTTACAGTTAATGAAAAGCACTTCTAGATCGGAACAGCACATCTTCTTTAACGCTGTAACATCTGTACACCACCTTTTGTTGATGTAAAAACATGTCCCGCCGCCGCGCGATTTCCCCATTGATTCTGCGTGGCGATCTGCTCTAAACAGCTGAAAGCCCGGGAGACTCAACACACTGTCCGGAATGGCATCATTCAGCCAGGTTTCCATGAAACAGAGCAGCAGAGTGTGAAAAATCCTTATTTGTCCGGGAGAGCAGAAGAAGTTTGTCCGTTTTGTTGGGTAGAGAGCGGAGATTCGCCATATGGATGCTCGGCAACGACGTTCTGAATCCGCGCTTCCTGAGCTTCATGAGCACGCCGGCTCTCTTCCCTCATCTGCGCGTCCTGAAGCGCTTGATCAGCGCAGCAGCTCCACCGACTACAACGTTCAGCAAAACGTCCGAATAAACGAAATCTGGTAGAAGATTGTGTGGTGTGTTCTGCCGAATGTTCAGCAGCTCATCCCTGGTAAAACTGATCGTGTTTGAGAAACAAAAAACAGGAAAAACGAACAAAAACAGTACAAACACTGGAGAGCCAAACACTGAGGCTGCCGTCTGCGGCACCATCGCATGTAACCCATGTAATACTTCTTGAGTTACAGACACACAAATTTACAAAAGAATATTTATGGCACTAAGACAGGTATGAACTATGCAATTGTTTTGATAGAAGGAAACAAGATACATTTCTAGTTTCAACATGATTTGTTCTTCAGACTTTCCTCTTTAAGAGAAAAAAGTGTCAGCTGAATGCAAAGTGACCAACATTTGTTTTTTGACCACTGAAAATGTGTATGATTTAACAATTTACTCCTGGAGCCATATTTAGATTCCAATATCTCTGTAAGTGAACCATATAGGGCCTTAAAAAAGAAGATGAAAAAAAAATGTGTTAAAACTTGAAATCTAAAAGGATATTAAGATATCTTTAATACTTCTTAAGTTACAGCCATGCAAACTTTGGAGAAAAAAACTTGAAGAATCTGATATAGAAAACATATAAAAAACATAGAATCTGATACTCATCTTATACAGATATAAAATTGAGAATCTGATATTTGATATGGAAGATTCTATGGAAGATAATTTTTGCCTGATGAAAGCATAATTATATTAATGTGGGAACAATGACTATGGTTCTTAGGGTGAAATATTCAGCTGTTCTACTGTTGTTACACTGTTAGTTCTACTGTGTTCTTTGTTCCATAGGAGGATCTAATCCACTTGGGAGCAAAGTTTTCTCCATGCATCAGACGAGACAGTCAAATAACGAAGCTAGCACAGCAGGCCAAAGATCTAGAGAGAGAGTCCGGCTGCTGTGTACAGAACGATGGTTCTGGATGTGTACAGACCCAGAGTGATGACTGCTCGGTATAAGTACACACACACACCCATATATATACATGAACAATAATAAACAATCTTAAACCTGTGAGAACTAGCCCACCGACTGAACCTGGTTTCTCCCAAGGTTTTTTCTCCATTTCTGTCACCTATAGAGTTTTGGTTCCTTGCCACTGTCGCCTTTGGCTTGCTTAGTTGGGGATGCTTGACTGATTGCGCAAACATTATTGGAAGAAAGATGAACTGGATGATGACATCACTGAATCATCAATGAAATTACTTTAGCTGAAAAATGACTCTTTGTTATTGTCAATTATTGACTAACTATTTTCCTCTTTGACACTGTAAAGCTGCTTTGACACAATCAGTATTTTATAAAGAGCTATACAAATAAAGGTGACTTGACTTGACTGTGTCATATACATATATAAACACTCCACATGCACACCTGCACATAATCTTACTGTATGTATACACAAACAACAAAGCAGTTGTGAATCCAACCCTCTACATTGCGAGTAAATCGCTCGCATATGCGACTAAATCTTCACTCTGGGCGACTAAATAATGTCTAATATTAGCCAATGGCTAATAAATTCTCAGATTTTACTCACCAGTGTGTGAGTTGGATGCTGAGTATATGATTAGCACAGATATATTTTCACTCACAGAACACTCTGACTGAGCGCTTCAGAGTTTCACTATCCGTCAAGCGATCCGTGATATTTTTCAGTTCATTTGAATGGATGCGTAGCGCACCTGTGTTTGTGTATTTGGCGTAACGTAAACTCTAGTGTGAAGGTGCACGACTCGCCGTCGCTTTCTCTCACACGCGCAAAGAGCGAGAGCGAGCGAGAGTCTTACATAACATGCAGAATTGATGCGCTACATGTAAACGATATACTTTGTTGTACTTTCCTGTAAAAAATAATGGAGTTCCTTTGGAATTCTTCAGCTTTTAAGAACTGCCCGGTTTTCCTGTAGTAGGCGGAACTAATGCGCAAACGATAATCTCATTGGCTGGTGCTTACCTATTATCGTCCCTGTTTTGATTTCAGCGAATCAGTTCGAGCAAACGCACACAACCTGATTAATATTCATGAATCCAGTAGCTCATTAATCCTTAGTGCGTTTTTATATTGTTCTTATTAGTAGAATTCGTATAATAATAATATCTTATCAGTATTATTGTTCGTTTTTTTTTTAATTATTGTTTCGTTATTATTCGTTTTTTTTTTACAGGAACACTGAATGACCAAAAAAAGCACCAGCACCAGGCTCATGGTTATCAAATTTTAATTCTAATTACTAAACTTCTATTATTAAATAATACTTGATTATCATATTATAATGCTTGACTGCTTGACTTACTGATATTAAGAGTGTACGTTCAGATATTTAAAAAGCTGTGCCATTTTACAAACATTATATATGTTTGTAAAATGGCATAACTTTATATATATATATATTTATATTTATATTTATTTATATATATATGTATAGTATAGTATAGTATAGTATAGTATTTCAGTCTGGGGAGTAAACAAAAAAATTTACTAGCCAATGGTGATTCAATTGCCAAGATGTCCGTAGAGGGTTGGTATCTAGAGTACTGTAGTGAAGATTAATTAGTCATAAATTTCAAACAAAGCTCATGTCTACCACCTAGAGGAATCAAGCTGAGCATAACTTTTAATTACTTTAATTCATTATGACCTGAAAGTATAAAGATGTCTTGATTTTGGTGCTTTCTCTTTAAGAGAATTAAATGACTGCTAAATATATTTTTGCTCTTTTCTGATAATAGGAGACTTTAGCAACATTTATAAAATGGAACAAAGAGAATGTAGACATGGTGACATCTTCACTTGCAGTCTGTCATCAGGACCCAAGGTATCTTTCAGTGAAATATCTCTCATTTTGTGAGGAAATGTTGGAGCATTTTTTAAAAATATTGTTTTGTTTTTTTGCAATCCATGCTGGGAGCAGGACTTGTGAAGAGCCAGCCTCATCAGGACCCCATGTTTGGCCTGATGACATCACAGAGTGGCCGGTGAGAAAACTTTACCTTCATAGAAGTTCTGTCTTAAGATTTTATTATTATTATGTTTACCAATTCAGTGAAAGAAGTCAAACATCAAATAACATACTACTTGTTTCACTTCTGTTTCAGTTTTTATAACCAATTCTTACTATGTGTTTCCAGATCCCTACTATCACTACCACTCGCAAACCACGTTTCACACACTATAGGCAGCACAATCCTAACAAATACTTATCTTGCTGGATCTGTCCGCTGCTTTTGACACGGTTAACCACCAGATCCTCCTGTCAACCCTATTGGCAAAGGGCATCTCAGGAACCGCACTCCAGTGGTTTGAGTCTTGCCTCTCAGATAGGTCCTTCAAGGTATCTTGGAGAGGTGAGGTGTCCAAGTCGCAACATCTAACTACTGGTGTGCCTCAGGGCTCAGTTCTTGAACCACTTCTCTTCTCTGTCTACATGGCCTCATTAGGTTCTGTCATTCAGAAACATGGCTTTTCATACCACTGCTATGCTGATGACACTCAACTCTACCTCTCATTCCATCCTGATGATCCGACAATAGCTGCTCGCATCTCAGCTTGTCTAACAGACATTTCTTGCTGGATGAAGGATCATCACCTTCATCTCAACCTTGCCATGACAGAACTGCTTGTGGTTCCAGCAAACCCATCGTTACATCACAATTTCACCATCCAGTTAGGCTCATCAACCATAACTCCTTCAAAAACAACCAGAAACCTTGGAGTTATGATTGATGATCAGCTTACTTTCTCAGATCACATTGCTAAAACTGTCCGGTCCTGCAGATTTGCTTTATTCAACATCAAGAAGATCAGGCCCTTTCTTTCGGAACATGCTTCAACAACTCCTTGTTCAAGCTCTTGTTCTGTCCAGGCTGGACTATTGCAATGCTCTCTTGGCAGGTCGTCCAGCCAGTTCTATCAAACCTTTACAATTAATCAAGAACGCAGCAGCCAGATTAATTTTTAATGAGCCATGTTTTAAAGAGTGCACGTCACACCTCTGTTTATCAATTTGCACTGGCTACCAATAGCTGCTCGAATAAAATTCAAGGCATTGATGTTTGCCTATAAAACCACCTCTGGCTCTGCACCCCTTTACCTAAATTCATTACTTCAGGCTTATGTACCCTCTAGAAGCTTGCATTCCGCAAGTGAATTTCGCTTTATTGTGCCATCCCAAAGAAGCACAAAATCACTTTTACGGACTTTTAAATTAAATGTTCCCTCCTGGTGGAATGACCTTAGCCATCTTTAAGAATTGGCTACAAACACATCTCTTCCATCTTTATTTGACCCTCTAACTCTAGCACTC